AATAATAATATGTATATATAATATGATGACTGAACAGATATCCATGTATACACATAGATATTATACATTAATATTGATATAATGTAAACATGTAAACATTAAATACAGTTTGTGCATTATTGGACAGCAGTAATGGCAGACATCTATTCAAACATGCTCATTTGGCTAATCATCAAAATTTTGATGACAACTGCACCCACTGGGTTGGCTGTACAAAGAAACCCATATGATTATACAGCACCCAACCCTGATCAACCAATATATTTAGCACTATATTCAATTCAATTCAATTCAATTCAATTTACTTCATTGTCCAAAACTTGTGCACTCAATAGAGACTAAGGACTTTCTCCCAGGTTCTCATTGATAAAACTGGGTGGAGGGTTTAAAAGAAAGAGCATTGCAGAACCAATCCAAAGTCCTGTGGAAGTTGTGTTTGTAGGCACTGTTGTACCATATAGTGTTGTAATGTCACTACAGAGGAGAATGGGGAGAAAGCATTGTTTGGGACGTTTGTTCTTGCTGCTGTTCAAGCAACTACTTTGCATTTCTAAATCCTCAGAAGACTGGTAGAGATCTCCATTTGTCTGGTGTTGTGAGGCTATTGCTGTGCTTCTTAGAGCATTAGTGCTGCCAACTGTCTGTTAGTGGCATAGCGTGAAACTGGTAGCAGGAATGTGGAACTTTGTGCATGTATGTCCTTGTGCACATGCTTGATGCAAACAAAACATGGAGCCTGCTCATAAAAACATCACTTCATAGCACTGCCAGTATTCAAAAACTTTCTAGTCTACATTTGTGCTATACCTACAGTAGTACTAGACGAAACGGACTTATGCATATTCTCTTTCTGTTTTTTCCAAGGGAGATGTAGGTAAGGAGATGTACATAATTAAAGATGGCCAGCTGGCAGTGGTGGGGGAGGACGGAGTCACCCAGTTTGCCGTTCTGACCTCAGGAAGTTGCTTTGGAGAAATCAGCATCCTGAACATCAGCGGCAGCAAGATGGGTAACAGACGTACGGCTAATATTCGCAGTCTGGGATACTCAGACCTGTTCTGCCTTTCCAAACAAGACCTGATGGAGGCACTTCAGGAGTTCCCCCACGCCAGGGCCCAGCTGGAGCAGAGGGGACGGGACATCCTGCAGAAGGAGGGGCTTCTGGAGGAAATAAACGTGTCTGCAGGCGAGAAACTTGAGGAGAAGGTGGAGAGGCTGGAAACCAGTCTGGACCGGCTACAGGTCAGTACTACTAATCCACTGTAAGTGCTGCTGCTGTTGGTGCTATTGCCACGTTCACAGTCATCACAATAATGATAATGACCAATAATGACTTTGTTTTCAGACGTGTTTGGCCCGTCTACAGAGTGAGTTCAACTCTTCCCAGCTTCGACTGAAACAGCGATTGACAACCCTCGAACACAACACCGCCACAGTCGCCATAGGCAGTGGCTTCCTGTCAGACGCCGACGGCAATGAGAGTGTTTCCGGTGGGGAGGGTGCGCGCAGTGAAATCAACATCCGTTTTTGAAGCACATACTCAATGTCATTGTCACAAAATACTTTCTGTGTTACTTTTATTTATTCTTAAACATTTAAATACATTAGAAAATACCATAAACTGCTCACTTTGTTTGGTGTTCACTGTTGATACTTGAAATGTGTTTGGATTTTATTTTGAAGCTGTCTTGATGTCTGCTTATTTCTTCATTTTTTTAAAAAACTTTCTGCCTCTTACAATTTTACACATTTTTTAAAGCAGAATAAGAACCAGTGTACATTGAATTCATTAACAAACTTTAATGTGTATAGCAACTTTCACAAATGTAGCTAAAATAACTTTATATATCATTGCATAGAAGAAAACTCACAAATTAATTCAAAGGTTGCCGACACACAATTTAGGATATAATAGAAATACGATAATACAATAAACAAATGACCAATACTTTGGGTTGAATACACTATGGTGTCCTCAATAATGTATTTTTCCACTAGGGGTTGCTAAAGTCCAGTGGATAGTTCTACTCTATCTACAGTCTGGGAACGTCTCACGCTACCTGAATGGAACTCGTGTTCATACACTTGTTGTTCTTCATAACTGCTTCAAGCTGAGCACAGGGCATATAGTTTTCATAGTTTAAAAGAATAGTTTGTCAACTCATCCACTCATTGAAAATACAAATGTAGAGGAGGTTTACGTATGTAAATGTTGACCAGAGTACGACTACTGATGATTATGCCTTATAGCCTTAACGAATGCAGATAAAACAACAAAGGCATTTTTTGGTGTAGGTTACAGAATTATTTTTCTTTAGAAAAGTGGGCTTTATATAACCAAAATATGGAAACCTTTTCTTGAAAAACTGTCCTTCCTTTGAATCTGTTTCTGTTTCATAGATTGTTTTTTAATGCTTTTTACTCCTTGTCAAAAAATATCTACTTCATTACATATTAGCAGCTTTATTATTAAAAATAATAAAATACTACCCTAACACTGACCACTTATTTTGAGCATAATAAATGACAAACTACTTCATAACCATGGATGTCTGTGTGAGTGTGTGAGTGTGTGTCTGTGTGTGTGTGTGTGTGTGTGGCCACTGCATGCTCTGCAGCCATGTCAGTTAGTAACTTGGGAGCAAAGTCCAACATCACATGACTGTAAGATTTTTAAGGAAGTGACTTTTAAGGAACGCGTGGAAACTGTGAGAAATCAGTGTGTTAAAAAGGTAGAAACATACTGTTGGGTCCTCTGTAGCTTCCTCTGTGTTTATCTTACTTTTACTCTCTCTTCTTTCTCTTTCTTTTTTCAAAAATCACCTTTGTTTTTTTATCCCACTTTGCTTTTCCTTGTGCATATTTCTTTCTTTCTTTTCCTTTCTCAAAAGTCTGTCTGTGTTTATCATCTTCTTTCTCATCTGTCTGATCTTTGTAGTCTAATAGATGTACAGAACTAGATTGCATGACTTTTTCTGCTCCTCACTGAGGGTCATCTTATCTGAGTGTGTTTTCTATTGTGTGCGCATGTGTACACGGGCAGTACAGTGACTGTTATTGTGTGTGTGTGTGTGCCTGTAACTTTGTGCACATACTTGTGTGAATGTGTGTGTGTATAGGTGTGTATTTCAGACATGGAGATCAGCTTTGTGTTGCTGTGCGTGATGCTGGTAGCCAGTGTCACACCAGCGTCTGCTGCAGCACAGGTAAGACCTGCTAAACAAATAAATACTGGTTTGCTTGCTAATTCTAATCAATTACTGTACATCCATGCAACAAAATGAACAGGTGTAGTGACCATTTACTTCGTCCTATTGCTTAGTACCAGCTTAAGGAAACACTTGAAAATGTCAATGTCAGGCTGCATGCACTGGCAATACTCATTCACCACCAAGTGCACAGATATATAAACACAAATAAATAAATCACAGATGAAATTGCTCCTACAATCACCTTCTAAGGTCTCCCCCCATGGATCACATGATTGATTGACATTTATGTATGTTTATATACACTCGGTTGGATATACTGTAGCTATGTACCTGTATATGTGTATTCCAGCCAGGTATCATAGAGCGCCTCCTATTGGCCACCCACCAGCGTCCCTGGCTCTGGGGTATCTATGTCTTCACTGTTGGACTTCCCATCATTCTCTTTATTAGCTTCATGTGGCCTGACAAGGTAAAGTATGCTTGTTTGTGTGCCTGTGTGTGTGTGTGTGTGTGTGTGCAGTGCAACTGGGAAATTTGTTTTTTTTATTTTTTGTCTTAAAAAATATAATCTTGTATCATCTTGTTTTAAGAAAATATATCTAACTTTGTCTTAATAAGATAATATTGAACTATATTTAACCAGTAAAAGGTTACAAGAATTGTTTACATAATATCCCAGCAGAGGAACAAGATTATTTTTCTTATTTTATCTTGCACAACTTCTCAATTTTAAGAGAAAGTAGTCTTGTCCCAGTGTTGTAAATGAAGAAGCTGTTTTTCATTGTGTAGTTACACTGAAACATGCTAAAAATATAAATGCTGGTTCCTTAATTTAAGACAAAATAACTTTGTATTGTGCTCTTTAAAGAAATTGTGTCTTATTGTAAGCTTTTCTCTCTTATTTTGCTAGTTATTAATCTTAGATTAAGGTACACAATTCTCAATAAAGTGACCAAAATACTTATTTTAAGAAAGTCTATCTTAAATAAGTTCTCACTGCTTGTAATAAGCACAATTTACATTTTTGGCTTTTTTTACCACATTTAAGACCCGTCAAGAAAACTGATGGTTTGGTCCGAAGCTACAGTACAAGAAGTTATGTGTGTGTTTGTTTGTAGAGGTTTGGACCCCCTGATCAAGAGTATTACTACAAGAAGTCTGATGATGCTCAACCAGATGATCCAGAGTTCTCAAAGCTGATAGAATCAGGGGATATCAAAGGTAATGTTTTTTACATTATTTGCTGTCGGTGGTAGTAGCTGTAGGAGGACAGTAATGATAGTGGTGGTATTAGTGATGGTATTACTGGCAGTAGTTGTTTCAGCAGCACTCTTCTCTTCTCTTCTCTTCTCTTCTCTTCTCTTCTCTTTTCCTCTCTGTTCAGAAAAACCTGACAGAACTGCAACAAGGAAGAGAGACATTCATGGTAACCAGAAGTCTGACTTAGACCTGGAGGTGAGATTCATTAGACTATGTGGAGGTGGTAATGGCTGATAATGTGATGATTCTGAAGGTGTAAAAGCACATTTGAAAGTATTGATGTGTAACAGAGAGATAAGAGTACCTGACTTCCATCCATCACGTAAAATGTAATTTGTGTGATGGAGTGGATATTACAGTTAGTATAAGCTCTGCTTTCTACTGGTTATACCGCGCTCAATAATACACAGTGTGTGTGACGGAGGTAAACAGGTTTAAAGAAGTGCAGCTCATTCTTTATGAATAATCCATGACCACATCTTGAGAAGTGTTCTGGCACTGTGCTATCAAGCTAAAAACAAAAACAACAACAAGAAACCCCCCAGCAGAATCTTGAAAATGGCTCTTAAAGAGGTCATACGTCATCGTGCAAAATACTGGAACACTAATAACACTCATTTGTTCTATTTGGGCAGAGCTAAAGGTTTTTTTGCCATTTGTAGCTGAAAGGTCTGGCAACACCAGTCTTTTAATTATTACCACTTTTTCTAAAGTTTCTAAATATTACATTAGAGGCCATAACCATTTAGACACATTTTACCTTTTGTCTTGTTGCATTAGCATATTGAATTTTCTGTTGAACCCACACAGACCTTTTATGACAGATTTCTGATTTTATTGCAACAACAGATTTGGAATATTAATGATTAAAAAAAAGTCCACTCTTGTTATAGTGCCTTTGAGCAGATCCTTGAAACTGACTATGTGCGTTTGTGTGTGTGTGTGTGTGTGTGTGTGTGTGTGTGTGTGTGTGTAGGATAATTGAACAGTGCAGCGACCTCAGGGGACAAAGCCACCACCAACATGCAAGAAGATGCCGGGCAATCACATCTATGGCCAGTTGTATTTGATGACTGGACAAAACTACACAGTGTGAAGGCAACAATGTCTGAGCACTGACTGTAGTATGTTTTTTCTTAACTGACATGATGTTAGAATAGTTTGAATTTCTGAATTTATACATGTAAAATAATATTTCTAAATGTTCCTAATGAATGTGTTAAAGCTCACACGCTGCCAAAAACTATATATTGTCTTGTCTCTGCCTATTAAATGGAATCAAGGACTTTTCTCAGGGTACAGCCTCAGAGGTTACATAATGTAATACACAATGTCAGATGGCTGTGTATGGAGCTAGTGCCACCACCTGATGGCTGCTGAAGGCACTTAATAAAAAGTTCGCTTTAACAAAATGTTTTTTTCCATTAATATGGTCAGGGTCTGATAGTGGTCTGATCGTGACTGTGCACTATTGTGTGTACTACTAGGGTGGAGCGAGTGGTTTGCGCAGCACAATGGGAGGCAGCTTGACTGTCCAAATGTAACACGTGTACTCTTCTCATCTGAACTCGTCTACTAACTCTTGGAAAGAAGGAGAATAAGCGTATATCTCCATTAGCATGGCTATTAAAAACCTTGTCACCAGGATTCACATCTCTCCTTAACTTTGAATAATTTGAAATCAGCAACAGCTTGTTACATTTTTCAATCAAGCTTCTTTGTGATCCTTTAAGATAAAACATCTCCCTCTGCTCTGCCTCTTCCCGCTTTGTTCAGAGCTGACCTTCAGTGGCATTTAGCTGCTCGCACCATTTCTCTGAAATGGCACAATACTGCTCATCAAAAAAATGACAATTCGAGCCTTTTAATGACACTCAGAGTGAATACTGGCTGGATAAGTGTCCATGAAAAAAAAATGGAAAAATCAAAGAGCTGGCAAGTGGAGAACAGAAGAGAGAGATGAGAAGAAGAGAGCATGGGAGAGCACAGACAAAAGGAGAGAGATTTTGGGGATGTTGAGCAGCACTTGATGACGCACTGTTGCCAACGTCTTCTATAATCAAATGCATATGTTTGTAATATGAATATGGTCATAGTATTTTCACATTATTTTCTTCTAATATAACACCACAATACCTCTATGTTATGCTCTTTGTTGGTCTATTCCGTGGGGAAAAAAAGAGATTTCCCGAAAGTGTGGCTACTTCTGGCAAATCTGTTCCAGACACTCCCAGCATATTTTGTATATTTTATGACTGGAGAGAATCAGGTATTTCGACAGTTTCTCATTCTGCTTGGACACAGCTTTCTTTGGATCCAGGTGTTGGGGAACATTTTAAAAATTCAACCAGCTCACGGTGAAAATCAACCAGATTCAACTAAACTCTGAGAAGTAGAAGTGTCCGTCTGTATCTTTTTGGTTTCTGCTATCTAAACAAGATGATGGAAGGTCAGCTGCTGCTGTTCACAGGACTGATGATCATCACAGCTAGTGTAAGTATCAGTCAGGCTGCTTTACACTCAATTCAGAAATATTTCAATTCACAGATCTTAGTGACTTCATTTTTTGTGAGCTTACACAAATGTGTTTGTGTGTACTTTTTATATTTGGTAATGTGTTATCATGCACTATTTTTGCATGGCTGTCACTGTTGTTGACTACATACAAATAGTATGTGCTAATAGTGGTAATGGGGAAGGTCTAATCAGCACTCTGAGTAAAAGAGTTGGCTGAGAGATACAATTTTTTACTTTATGAATGTAGTCTTTTCAAAGTTGCAGGACGGATTCTAGTCAATGTGATGAATAGAAAGATGTTACTTTTCAAGCTGTTTGTGAGGGTGCTCTTGTATTTCTGTACTTGTGAACAGCACACTGCAAATAATTAAAAACTTTAAAAGTGAGAAAAATTTGGCTGGTTGTTGTCCCTTTAAAGGAATAGTTCAACATCTTAGGAAATATTCACTATCTTGCTGAGAGTTAGAGGACAAGACTGAAGCTATAAACATAAACCCCATAAACTGTAAGTGCTGTTAACTCTGTTGCCTGTTTTCTCTCAGGCATGGAAGCAGATAATAACATTTCCCAAAATGTAAAATATTCTTTAAAATGTCTAGGTTTAGATCTTGAATCTAAGGTTAAATACAGAGCTAGGGTTAAGTTAGTGTTATGAAGATTAAACTATACAGTGAGGCTGAGTGTCAGTTTTTATACATTTCCAGTACTTGTTAGAGGTTCCACCTCTGCTTGGAACAAAGCAAAGTATTAGTGAGTACTAGTATAAGTATTTAACTGAAATAAATATAAGAAACTATATATATACTGTATATTTCCACACTACTATCTGTCTTTAATGCATATGTTTCACTCTATGCATATTTTATCTCAGAATTAGAGAACAAATGTAACTGAAGATCCTTTACAAATATAGCAATCCAAATGTGTGTGTAGGCGTCAGACAGTTGCCGTGAGGAGGTGGCTCGTCTGCAGGAACAGGAGAAGCTTCTGAAGGGCCAACTTCAGAAACAGGAACAACTCCTACGCAGATTACAACTGCTGAACCAACCTCACAACAAGGACATACACATGTCCGACCAGAGCCAGGACACCCAGTATGCAGGTCAGGGCCACAGCCTCAGGACCGGAAAGCAACATTTGAAAATCAAGCTTAAAATATCTTGTCAGGTGTTATATTGCAGAAACAGGAACTAGATAATGCACCAAATACTGAGTGTGTATTTGTGTGTGTGTGTCAGACTGCTCTCAGCTCTTCAGTTCTGGCTCCAAGTCCAGTGGTTTCTATGGAATCAGACCCCACGGCAGCCCTTCGCCAGTCAGAGTCTACTGTGATATGAGTGACGGAGGCGGCTGGATCGTGATTCAGAGACGGATCAATGGAACAGAGAAATTTAACAGGTGTGTTGGTGATAACTAACTAATTAGTGTTAGTGTAATGAAATCATATGAAAAGCAATGCAATCTATCTATCTATCTATCTAT